GCGAGGTGCCCGGCGCTACTCCGAGGAAGGGCCGCGGGGCAGCGCTCTCCCGCGGGGATGCGCGGCCGGCGCCGAAACGGGCGTCTGCCCCTGAGAGACCCCTCCGTTTCCGTCCCTTTTCCCCTCCGAAGTTCCTCTGCTTGCCGTTTTAAATGCGTGTTCGCAGAGTCAGCACACGTAGGGCAGGCTTCGTCTCTATGACTTTAATAAACCGACATTTTCAGCCTAACGAGGGAGAGAATAAGTAGGAAATTTTCAAATGACGTGATTTCCCCATGCTGTAAATGTAGCACGGGGAAACATTCTGGGCTAGCAGCAGAAGCAGCAGTTTGATGTTTGTAATTCTATACAGAATTAACAAAACTGGAAACTTCTTACAATTTAGACGGGTATACGGCGTCCCTCCATGTAGCGCTGACAAGCGAGGGTTTGAAGGATTTAAAGCCTGGGTCTATTGGCGCTGCAGCACCCAGCCTTCCTGACTGCCGCGCTGTAATTCAAATCCAAATGTTTGGCATCTCCACGCCTTGTACAGCGCGTTGTGAAAGCTGAACAGTTCAGAGAAGGATCTGGAGGGTAAATAGAGAGAAATGGGTTTGATCTTTGTTTTCAGGATGGTTTATAAAACTCTTCTTGTATAAAATCCACACGCCCACCTTGGAGGACACCCGTCGCATGTTGCCTGAGGTAACACCCTTTCCCACAAGCTGCCCAAAGACACTTGCGTACCTCGGTGTAAGCAGAGCTGTAGCAGCTAATGCAAAGCAACATCTCCGTAGCTCTCTTTGGGATGACAAACACCACGCGAGAGGAGAAGCACGGGGGAGCGAGGGCACGTCACCACAGCACGGGGATGACGACCAGTGAGCCGCATCCCCACCTGAGGAGCTGGGCCAAGCCTGCAGAGCCAGGGCGTGGGGAAGGCGAGTTGCTGTGGCCATCTGGGAGCGGACTGCTTGCTGCAGGCTGCTACCTGGCGTGGCAAGCTGCGTATCGGTCCTGTTAGGGTGGAGGTTTACAGGGTTGTTACCATCATTCTCCTTAAGCGGCAAAGTTTGCCAATGCTGCCTGAACAATAGCCGGGCTTCAGAACAGGCTTCCCACCCTGGCCATCCATCGTGCCCATTTGCTGACGCCACACGCCACCAGATGGGTATGAAATGTCAAGCAGAAAAGAGACCTTGAATAAGGCTTTGGATGAAACAGCTCCTGAAGGCTCCTGTTATGCACAAGAGTGAGCGCTTGGCATTTGCCTGGTTACTCTGCACATACTTGCGAGGTGCCCGGCGCTACTCCGAGGAAGGGCCGCGGGGCAGCGCTCTCCCGCGGGGATGCGCGGCCGGCGCCGAAACGGGCGTCTGCCCCTGAGAGACCCCTCCGTTTCCGTCCCTTTTCCCCTCCGAAGTTCCTCTGCTTGCCGTTTTAAATGCGTGTTCGCAGAGTCAGCACACGTAGGGCAGGCTTCGTCTCTATGACTTTAATAAACCGACATTTTCAGCCTAACGAGGGAGAGAATAAGTAGGAAATTTTCAAATGACGTGATTTCCCCATGCTGTAAATGTAGCACCGGGAAACATTCTGGGCTAGCAGCAGAAGCAGCAGTTTGATGTTTGTAATTCTATACAGAATTAACAAAACTGGAAACTTCTTACAATTTAGACGGGTATACGGCGTCCCTCCATGTAGCGCTGACAAGCGAGGGTTTGAAGGATTTAAAGCCTGGGTCTATTGGCGCTGCAGCACCCAGCCTTCCTGACTGCCGCGCTGTAATTCAAATCCAAATGTTTGGCATCTCCACGCCTTGTACAGCGCGTTGTGAAAGCTGAACAGTTCAGAGAAGGATCTGGAGGGTAAATAGAGAGAAATGGGTTTGATCTTTGTTTTCAGGATGGTTTATAAAACTCTTCTTGTATAAAATCCACACGCCCACCTTGGAGGACACCCGTCGCATGTTGCCTGAGGTAACACCCTTTCCCACAAGCTGCCCAAAGACACTTGCGTACCTCGGTGTAAGCAGAGCTGTAGCAGCTAATGCAAAGCAACATCTCCGTAGCTCTCTTTGGGATGACAAACACCACGCGAGAGGAGAAGCACGGGGGAGCGAGGGCACGTCACCACAGCACGGGGATGACGACCAGTGAGCCGCATCCCCGCCTGAGGAGCTGGGCCAAGCCTGCAGAGCCAGGGCGTGGGGAAGGCGAGTTGCTGTGGCCATCTGGGAGCGGACTGCTTGCTGCAGGCTGCTACCTGGCGTGGCAAGCTGCGTATCGGTCCTGTTAGGGTGGAGGTTTACAGGGTTGTTACCATCATTCTCCTTAAGCGGCAAAGTTTGCCAATGCTGCCTGAACAATAGCCGGGCTTCAGAACAGGCTTCCCACCCTGGCCATCCATCGTGCCCATTTGCTGACGCCACACGCCACCAGATGGGTATGAAATGTCAAGCAGAAAAGAGACCTTGAATAAGGCTTTGGATGAAACAGCTCCTGAAGGCTCCTGTTATGCACAAGAGTGAGCGCTTGGCATTTGCCTGGTTACTCTGCACATACCCTGCGTGGCTTGCCTCAGAGACCCGTGCTGCTGGGAAATACACAAAGTCTAATTTGTCAGTTTGGTTCAAGTTGCATTATAGGTTTACCTTTTATTCTGCAATAATTATTTATTAGTGTCTCCCCAGGGGAGGGCTGCAAGTGCTGAGTGCTCGCCAACATCCGTCTGAAGTGTTACTGATTTGGGGGTGAGTTAGAGCCTGCCTTTGAACCAGAGACATCTGAAGAATGAGTAACAAGAACTAAAATATTTTCCTTCTGAAAGCAGAAGCTGTGTATCAGGATTGTTGATGTCAAAGGGCTTCAAACCTTGGTTTTTAACTTCCTAGGTGTGGGTGTTAGGCATAGGGAAATGATCCGCTGAGCAGGGACTCCACTACAGCGTTGCATCTCAGTGCAAGAAGTGTTGTGCGTACTTTTTCTTAATGACGAAACATTAACAACAACTTCCACGCTGGGGAAGAAAAATAGCTGTGTAGGTATTTGTGGACAGATGGCTCATGAGTCAGTTCTTACGTGGTTTTGGCTTTTTATCTTCCCAGAGCACCCCATTGCTGTTGCTCCTCTACCAGCACAGTGCAGGTGGGCTTGCAGAAGTTTTGTCTGCTTGCCAAGCGAGTCTGTTGTTTTGGTGTTCTGCTAGTCGCCTTGAGCAGCAAAAAATAAAAATAATTTTTTAAACAAAGTAATACAGTGTGCATCTTGGGAAGAACGGGCAAAATTGTTTTAAATTGTTTTTCCAATCTAGTTCATTCTTGCATGGAAGAGTTTGCGCTGCGAGGTGTGTGGTGTAGAAGACTCTCATTTCCCTGTCACTACACAGCACGCTTCTGGGTTTTCAGTAGAGTGAAACGTTCCCCACAAACCTTATAAAAAACCCGCTTACACGTGCGACGAGCAACCGGCCTGCGTTTGAGGGCCTCACGCTGCCTAGAGCAAGAGAGCTCAGCAGAAACTGCAAAGCGAGCTCTGGAAGCTGAAACAGGACCCGACTCCCGGATGGCGTTGCAAGCCTTGTAGGTAGCACCTGGTGCCTTTTAAAGCTCCGTGCCCTGCAGCCCTGGCGCGGAAAGTGAGGGTGGCTACCTCCGGGGACTTTTTGTTGCCTGCTGCTGAGATGAGGTCCGAGCTCAGGAGCTGCCCGCCGCTC